GGGAGCCGCCAGCCTGGTCCCGGGAAGAGGGGGTGGGCTGGGGGACATCGGGTGGGTGACTCTGTGCCGTGCCAGGTGCAGGGTCTGCTGGCTGGGTGCTGGCAGGCTTGCACCTGGCACGGGCACCGTAGCCAGCCCGTGCGCCTTTAAGGGGTCTGGGGCCGGGAGGGGGGCAGACGAGTTTCCCTGGTGTGCGCCAGAGTGGCCACCAGGGAAACCTGGGGAGGGCTAGCCTCCCACTAGTTCGAATTAAGGGGCTACACTAATTCCCACTAGTTCGAATTAAGGGAATGAGGATTACCTAGTTCGAACTAAGTGCTCCGTTCGTTAGTTCGAATTTATTCGAACTAACGGAGCGCTAGTGTAGCGCCTATGAAAGTTAGTTCGAACTAACAGACACCCTCTTTCTTTCCAGGACACAACAAATCGCCTTAAAAAAGGTGATTTTATTAACAAAACAAAAAGATATATTTAGTAAAGCATACTTGGTTGCTAGGTGTTACAGAGCAATGAGTAAAACAAATTAAAACACAGAGAACACCTCTGATATGCTCTTAGTGAATGGGGGAGGGAAGGCATAGATTCTCACAGAGAAGTTTAACCAAAGAACCCAAGCAATAAAAATGTCCTAATTGTGACTAAATACACATTTTCCCTTTATTTACTCATGACCGTTTTCTGGTTCAGTCCACTTACATGCCCTGAATTCCTTGTAGGCATGGCAATTCTGATTACTGCCTGTTAGATGTCTAGCCCTTAACTTAGAAGTCACACAAAGAAAGAGCAGACCAGGTATCTATATACAATTCAGATTTCAGCACTGTATCCCATTGGTTCTTCTGGCCCCCTATCAACACCTCATTGGTTCTTCTGGCCCCTTACCAGTGGCCTTCCTAGCTACTTGAGTTTAATCCCCTAGTCACTGAATGCTGGCCAGCAATCCTATCCATCACAATAGCCATTTACTTTCATCAGATACTGCTATGCATTCTAACTGCAGGACTACAGAAATGTTTCAAAGTCTAAAATCAGTCATGAGAGCAATTAATTATCACTGTTTATCTAGTCTTTAATTTGTATAAGTATTCTGACATTCTAGAACTCAGAGAATGAGTAGCCACTCGCAGTCAGAGAAGAATGTTGGGTAATTACTGTGATAAAAAAGTTTAGAATCTTTTCAGACACTAACCTAGCATTAAGATAACATATTTCAAGGTCAGAGCACTGTAAACATTATTTAAATAAATAACTCTATAAATAGATGTGTCCAGGTCCCAATAATAAGGCATGATAAATCATTGCAGTACAACCCTGACAGCATGTAAGGTAACAGTTGGTACACTGCATGCTGGTACACTGCAAAAGCTAACTATATTTCTGGTGTGGTTTGGACAATAGTTTTTATATTTATACTTCTCTGGTATGCTAGCTCAAATCAAAGATTTGGCTTATAATTTAGTAGATGACTTACGGACCAATATGATTGTAGCATGCAAACAGTCTGTACTGTATGACTGACGTTTGGGTTATGTGATTATCACCAGTGCACCATCTAGTAACAAGCTAATTTGTTTCTTGTAAAGGTGAGTACAAACAGGCATAGTTTCAGTAATTTCTTTTATATCCTATGACTAGTAGATGGAAGAGCAAAAGGTGAGAGGGGGCAGGAAAGAGACATTGGAGCAAAGCAGGGCAGGATGGGAGCCAAATGATAGGATCAGAACTGTTGAAGATACAGGAGCCAGGGCCAGTAAGGCCACATCTCAGGGGTGGCCCATGCCTATAGGCAAACTTGGCAGCCACCTAGGGCGCTGAGTTAAATGGGGTGCCAAATTCCCTGCCACTTCCCCTTCCCCTAATGCCTGGCTTCGGCCCCAGGGGAGGAGGCGCATGGGGGTTTCCCTGCGCCACAGGAGGAGAGAGGTCGGCCCTGGGGGAGGCACACACTGGCTTCCCCTGCGCCGCGGGTGGGGGAAGGCAGCGGCCCCGGGAGAGGCATGTATGGGGGTTCTCTGGCTGTGGCATGCAGAGGACTATATGGATTTCAAATCTTAAATTGTCCATGTAGTCATCCACAAATTGACTTAATTGGATTCCTCTTCTTATCTCTTGAACACAGCCAGCAAGATCCACACTCTCTTATCCTCTGATTACATTTCGGGCTTCACAGATCTCTACACTGGCTCCATTCCTTCTGTCATCAATTAAAGCTGCTCACCCCTTTTTCCTTTCCCCTGTCCTTGTTTATTGGCTTCTTTTAAATGTAGGGTATGAATAGTTAGTACATGTCATTACCATCCCGTTTCCTCATTCACATTCAAAATCCCTTCTATTATCTTCACCAGAATGCAAATAGAACTACACTGTCATCTTTTGTTTGTGTTAATTGTACTGTGCCTGGAATACCTTTAGATTACAAATTATTCAAGGAGGGATACTATATTATGTGTATCTTTACTATTATAAACCTCTGTTTATCAGCATTTTATGGAAATAACGTCCACTGAATTGTTGGTGTATAATACACACACACACACACACACACACACAATTATTTACTGTTATCCACTTAGTTGATATTATAAGTGAAGAACTCTATCTAGATCCTTTGATATATTTACTATCATCAACTTAGTTGATATTATAAGTGAAGAACTCTATCTAGATCCTTTGATATACTAGTGGTGCTTTTAACATGGAAAGTAGTTGTTACTGAATACATTTTGGTAAGAAAAACATGTCACTGTCATTTTAGATAGCAATAGCTGAGCTAGCAATTGCCAAACATCCTATATTGCCCAACAGTGATGCTTTAAAATGTGCTCGATGAAGAAGTGAAACAACAAACACTGTTTTTATGTGTCTAAGGGGTAGCCATGTTAGTCTAACTTCAAAAATAATGACTAGCCCTGTGGCACTTTGGAGACTAACAAATATATATACAAATAGTATCATGAGCTTTCGTAGGCAAAACCCACTTCCTCAGATGAGCTGGAAGCTGGAGTGGCTATTTATAACAGAGGGAGGGGGAAAAAAAGTACCTGTCAATTGTAGGACTGGTGCTAATGAGGCTAATTAAGTGGGTTGGAAATAGTCGACTATCCAATAAGCAAATGTTTATAGGATGGTTGACTCGACTAGTTACCCCCTCCGCCCCCGCTTACTGCCTCTGTCAGAAAGAGGCAGCAAGGCGGGGGAGGAGAAGAGTAGGAGTTGGTGCTGGGGTGAACTGGTAAAGCCGGTTCCCTCCAGCACCATCTGAGAGGCAGGGGAGGCAGAGACATAGTGGAGAAATGGCACGAGTGGGGACTAGTTCAGTCCCTGCTCGCACTGGTTCCCACTAGAGGCGATTCTGCTTTTGAAATGTACAAGACCCTTCCAGGGCTTTTGTACATTTCAAAAGCAAAAGTGCTGCAGGGAGCTTGGGGCAAGCAGGGACTCAAGCCGTCCCTGCTCACCCTGTGCTCTCTGCAGTGCCTCCCACCTGCTGCCTCTGTGAGGGGGGGACAGGAGTCAGTGCTAGGGGAAGCCAGCTGAAAAGCTAGCTCCCCCCCACTGTCTCCAGGGTGCCACCTGCATCCCCTCCCACTGCCTCTATTAGAGGCAGCAGGGGTGGAGTGATCCCCTGCCAGCAGGAGTCCCAGCAAGGAGCTGCCCTCCTCTGTGGACAGGGGCTGTTGCTGTCAAGCAACCCCTTTTTGTGGTGACCAGCACACAGGGCTGTCTACCGTGAACAGGGGCTGCTGGACTCAGCATGAGCCGGGACCAAGCAGTCTCAGCTCGTGCTGACCGCTGCACCTCTGCATTTTAAATGGAGTTAGAGCCCAGCAGGGGAAAGAGAAGGGGATGTGAGTAGTTGACTTGAGTACCCAGTAAGCATAGGCTTATCGGATAGTTGACTAGTCGATTACTCCTTTACATCCCTAGTATGGATGCTGCCGTACAATGCAGACACTTTGTACTGTCATGGTTTTCCTGTGAATCAGAACTGCATGACCTTTAGCTTTCTAAGAAAAGCATCTAAGCATTTTGGTAGCCATTCTTCTTCCCTAGTTCATTAGGTGGAATACTAAAGGTATCATTCCAACACTTTCTGCTACATTTTACATCATGCTGAAAAGTCACTCCTGGTGGGAGGTGTGACATTCTAGCTCTTACAGCTCTTTTTACACAGTGCCACTTGTCTATAAGTGTGCAGTCGCTATAAAACAAACCATATTACACAAATCCGTGAGGAGCCTGTTCTAGAGCCCATTTAACTCAATTCAGAGATGTTTACTGACTTTAATGGACTGTAACACACAAGAGATTGGCATAAAAACAGTATGAACAGTGTCAGGGGGGTAAACGTGCTAGTCTGAATCTGCAAGAACAACGAGAAGTCCTGTGGCACCTTATAGATTAACAGATTTATTGGAGCATAAGCTTTCGTGGGCAAAGACCCACTTCGTCAGATGCATGTACACGCATGGTGAAGTGGGTCTTTGCCCACGAAATCTTATGTTCCAATAAATCTGTTAGTCTATAAGGTGCCATAGGACTTCTCATTGTTCTAGTATGAACCGTATTTACCACAGGGAAAAAATAAAGGCTTGTTAGAATATAATTTTACTGTTAACCAGCAATCACCTGTGCGTACTATGTGTAGTCACTTTGAGGAAAGCATGAGTGAAGTCATCAGACCTAACATAAAAGTGTTATGTGGGCGTTCAACTTTTAATAGTTGTCTTTGTGGCTTTTTTCCTTTTTTAATTATGCCAAGCAGGTTCCTGGGTGGAACTGCACTTCAGCAGCAATGGCAATGGTAATATTGTCCAGCCAACAAGCCAAGAGCAAGTACCAGATTCTATTTCTGTTTACAATGGTGACATGGAGAAAATACTCCTAGATGCCCAGCATGAATCTGGAAGAAGCAGTTCAAGAGAAAGCTCGCGCTGTGATAGGTAGCTATAAATATATTATTGTAAATACAGGAGTGCTTACAATAGTGCAGTTTTTCTGGTATGTGTGTGTATAGTGTGTGAGTATATTATGTGTGCGCTTATATACACACACATTTATATCAGTATCAAAATTTATAACAAACAGATGGGTTACTTTTAAACATAGAAACTCATTTTCTGAAGCAGTCCATCCTGAAACCAGAAGGAAATAATATAA